GAGTCATTTCTAGATTTCTATCTTCAAGATCACTTTCTTTCTTCCATATGGTCTTCTCTATTTCCTAAGCTAACTCATTCTTAATCTCATTTATTGAGTCTTTCAGCTCCAGACTCCCTGTTTAATTCTTTTTCAATATCTTTGGTAAAGTTCTCCTTTTGTGTGTTGATTTTATTCTTGAGTTCATTAAACTGCCTTTTTGAGTTTTCTTGTATCTCACTGAGTTTTTTCAGAACAGGAGTCTTGAATTCTCTGTCATTTAAATCACAGTCTTTCATGTCTTTGAGTTTGCTTTCTGGAGACTTTTGATTTTCTTTCTGAGCTACCTTATTATCTTGGTTATTCAAGGTATCCAGTGGATCATTTCTCTGCCTGATCACTTGAGGGATTGAAATCTTTCCTTTTAAGTACTGGTTTTTACTTTTAACAATTGAGCAGGTTGATAAGTAGAGGTAAGTAGAGGTTCTCTTTTGTTTTCCAGCAGATGGTGGCATAGCACAAATTTTGTCTTCTTTTACTTGCCCTACTGGGGCTTCTGGGATCTCAGTGGGCCAGTATTGCCTTGGCTGTTGAAAATGTCCATATTCCCCAAGGAAATAGGCATTCTCTCTATGACTGGATCACCTCAGTCTCAGGGCACCACCCCCTTGGTGGATGTGAGGGGCAGGGGGGCCCTAAGCCCGTGTATTCCCAGTGCTGCCTTCCTGCAGCCAGAAGCTGCCCCCTGTTCTGTACTATCTGATATGTCCCAGGTCCCTCTATTGGGTTCTATGCAGTGGGTGGGTGGGGGAGGTGGGTTCTCACATCTGCAGGCTAAAATGGTGCTTCTGCCCCTTTGTGACCTGCTGAGTGAGGGCTATAATCCAACACCCCCACCCAGCCACAGCTGCTACACCCTTGAACAACCTCTGCCCCCGTCACTCCGCCCTGCCGTGATGTGTGCTGACCACTCAGGCCCAGTGCTGCCTCTGGCCCCCAGTCCTCTCTGGGTTGCTGAGTGGGTGCTGCAATCTCACCTCCACTGTGGCTGCCTCTGCTAGTGTCAGGCTGTGCCTGCGCCTTGGTCTCTGTCCTTTCCTGTCCTCCCTCCCATACACCCACCTTCAGGTGTCTTAATGTGCACATCTCTCAGGCGTATTCGTGTACTGAACAGGGAATTCTTTGTTGAGTTATATAGTTGTTCAACTGTTGTAACTTTCAGGGGAGAGACCAGGAAGTCTTCTCACATGGACATCCTGCTAATGTCACTCTTGTACTTTGGTTTCAGTACAGCCTCTGGGCTCTGTTTCCCCTCTATCCATTTGTCTTGTACGTGTAGTTCTAATAAGTTTACTCATCTGATTTCTGGCCAAACAGATAAATATCTAGCAAATAAGAAGCCAGGAGGTGAGGGGAAACAAAGAGACAACCCTAAGAGGCAACAGCTGGCAGCCTACGTTAGCAATGCTGACTATAAAAAATGAATGTAAACACACTGGTACCTCCAGGTGCTCTTGCTGCCCAGCCCTGCCCTGGGATCTCCCAATCTCCCTTCAATCCACCAACTAAAGGGTTAACTCCTAACAGGGCAGGGGCTTCTGGACCCTGCTATATCACCAAGTCTCACTTCTTTTCTGATTGGTCATGGATGTTAATAATTTAATATCACCTAGGAACGTGGGTGTACATTGCTTTAATAACTGAGTAAGCTAGCTAACTTCCCCCTCAATATCAGATATAAGAAATAAAAAAAACAACAGGGGTCTTTTCATGTGGGGAGGACATCCATATATAGTTACGGGCCCTGTGGGCATCAATATATTACAATGCAGAGTAATAATTTTCATAATAATGGGCCTTAGTCATTAAGAAAAGTTTAATTACATTCAGCGTTACCTTTTTAAGTTAGCAGAGGAGTGTAATATGTTTTAGAGTTCTAACAAAATGGACTAAATGTCTTACTGGTTATATAGAATTGAGCCTTTAACCCTATAGAACATTTGCTTGTCCAGAATGAGTCTTTCTTCATGATTCCAGAGCTGAAACTCCAGAATGAAACAGGACAATGTCCTGTCCGTATTACTTACAGCCACAACGTACATATTCTTCTGTAGCCAGATTCGTTCTTCTGTGCCAGTCCTGTCTACACCTGAGCACGGGCTCACCTGGCCTGATGGTGCCTCCACGCTCGCCTGGCTGGTGACCCCTTTCTGCTCACCTGCACTGACATGGTTCTATGCTCACCTGGGCTGGTCACCCTACATGTTCCCCTAGGATGATTCCCCACTCCCTGTTCCCCTGGTTGACCATGCGTCCCTGCTGCCCTGGGTTGATGGTGCTTCCCTGTTTCTCTTGGCTGATAGTACTTCCCTGCTCACCTGGGCTGACCACACCTGCCTGCCCTCTTCTTCCTTGCCTCAATGGGCCTTCCTCATGGAGCTGTGGTGGCACCAAGGAAGAACAAAAGGCCCTTTCTCATTTTGACATTACATTGTGATAAAAATGGCATGCTTGTCAACTCATCTCATAGACAGCCACTCAAACCATAGGCCCCAGAAAGAACAGGTGTTTAGATTAAGATACAACCTTGATGTGCTGGAGATGTGTTTGGATGAAGGCAGAAGCGAGTTCAGAGTCTAATGTGACATTAAAAAAACAAGACCGAAAGCCCAAACCAAACCAAACAACGTGCTTCATAAATACAAGGGAACTCATGTCCAAAGTTAATGGAAAATCTTAGGATTGAAGAAGACAGCGAGAAAGCAGGCAACAAAAGTGACCTTGCCTGAGTCTGTGTGGATTATGTCATTGGAATACGCTACACGGGAGAGGGAGGGGACTCTGTTTCTTTAGTCATGTTTCTCATTAGCAGATGGGTCTAATACTTTATGGGCCTGGCTGGTCCGATTGCTTAATTAATGTAATTATTGACCCTGACCACCTAGTGTCAACGTTAGCCAGATTCCCAGCCAGCTCAGACTCTTGTCTGAGCCAAGGATACGGAGGACCCAGAGCAAAGCCTCAGGCCTTGTGGATGAGTATGTTGCAGGAGGGCTCCATGGCTGGGCTGCTAAAATGACAGACTCACAAAGGGAACCGGGCACTTACTGTGAGGACTTGGTGGGGCGATGAAGGCACCAGGGCTCCCTGGGCTTCCAAGAGTGCTACCCGCAGGACAGAGGGAGCCATTGGTGGTGGGACACTCTCCATCTCCCCAGCACTGACATGTGCGGGTCCCTCTCCTGGAGCCCCCCTTTCTCTGAGCATCTGTTCCTGCATTCTCACTCCCCCAGCCCCTCCTTCCTCCTGCTCTGTGCAGCCTCTCACTCCAGCCTCCCTTTGCCTCGGTGGATCCAAACCTCCTGGCCTCCACCACAGCATGACCTTGCAGGCTCCAGCTTCCTAATTCTGTCTGATTCCCAGAAAAAATATCCAGTTGGCTCAATTTGTGTTTTCCTGCCAGTCGGATGTCAGGGGTCCCTGGCCTACCTAAAGGTCAGTGCATCTTTGCTGTCCTCACGGCGGGGGTCTCACGGGATCTATGTGGTGGCCCTTCATCGGGGCAGGGCCCAGCAGGCAGGGTGTGACTTATCGGCAAAGACAGGACAGTGGGTTTCTAACTCCTGAAAATGGGGAAGAGAGCTCTAGGAGTTGAAGAAGTCCTTCATTTTTGCCTCTAGTCCCCTCACTAACAGACTGGGTGACCATAATAAATCACATCCTTTCTCCATAGAATTGAGGGGTCTGAATAGATTAAAACGCCATTTGTCACACCCCATCTGCTGCTTTGAGTATGATACACAAATTTGTTGTTAATCCCCAGGAGGGAGGTACATCATCAAATCCTATTAAAGATGGGAAAACTGAGGCACAAAGTGGGTAACTTGACAAAAGTCACCCAGCTAGTAAGTGGCAGAGCAGGGATCTAAGCACCAGTGGGACTTCAGAGTCCTTGTCCTTCACCATGCTGACTTCACGAGCCACCTCGCCCTTCCAGCACCCCTGGGACTCCAGGGGAAAGTCAGCAATGAGATGAATGAGGCTGGGGGCTTAGCTCTGTTCTCCAGAATAGGATGGTCCTTTGAATCTGGCCAGGGGACAAGACACCCACAGGAACACGGCTGCCCTTTGCCTGTGCCCTCTCTGGAGGGCGTGCGAAGTGCTAGCCTGTCGGCAGGTGTCAACTCAAAAGTCTCTCCCTCGGCTAAGTTCAAGGACTGTTTACCCAAGTGGATGCAGGAGGCTTAGGCAATCCATTGCTCTGACACGTTTGGCAGTCCATTGCTGTGACATGTTTGATTGGTTTGGGTGTAGCAGAGCTCACCGCAGCTGCTGGAACAATGCATTTCATGGGGCCACATAGGCGCCCACAGCAGCTCGGTGGCCCAGAGGCCCGCCTTGGGACGTGGCTCCTGAGCTGGGGATTCAGGCTCAGTCGCTGAATTCAGAGTGAGGATAGGGCATGACTGCCTCCGTTGGGAGTCTCCATCCCAGGCCCACACGTTGGGGTAGGTCCTTTCCCAAGGTGCCTGGCTGAGGGCAGCCACAGTCCGCAGCAGTGTCTGGTGACAATTACTGAGACAGATAGGAAGTACCAGGCAGGACCTGGCAAGGGTTTTCAGGCCCTGGCGGTGGCCCTCGCCAGGAGCCAGGGGGCAGGAAGCTCACCGATCCAGGGAAGCCTCCCATCTGCTTCTCCCTGCCTCGGGCCTTTTCCTTCCTGGTGTCCCCGGCCACAAAGGCTGCCCTGTGTGGCCCTTCATGTGACAGTTCATAAGTCAGGACATGGAACAACCAAACCTATGGGCTAACTGGACATGGCAATGTCGCCGAAGGAGACGGGGCGGCGCATGGCCCAGCCACGTGAGCCCGTCAGAAGGGCCATTGTGAGAGGTGGTGTTGTTTTAGTGGGTGCAGCAGAGGGTGGACCAGCCCGACGGTAAATTGTGCCTTCCAGTTTGTCCCTGAGCTTTTAAAAGAGGAGCTTCCCTGCACCGGCCCCCATCCCAGGCCTGCTCGCCATGACCGCTCTGCTGACACTGCCTTCGCTGCTGCTCCTGGGGGCCCTGGCCCAGCATGGATCCGGGTGGACGTACTCAGGTAAGCCCCACCCAGGGGCTGCGGGTCCCCTGCCACCCCCACGTGCGGTGGGGAGCACCCCCGCCCCGAGGACCGCGGTGAAGCCTGGCAGCTCCTGCGTGCGGCGGGCCCCGCACCATTGCGGGGTGCTGGCCCGGAAAGCCGCCCACCGCCTGTGCCCGCGAGGGCGCTGGCCTCCTTGGCGTTAGGGGAACATAAAGTTGCTACCAAGGGCCACCTGCAGCCCCGGCGGGCGGCTCAGCTGGTCGGAGCATCGCCCCGTGAACCAGAAGGTGGAGGGTTTGATCCCCGCTGGGGCGAGCAGGGGAGGCAGCGGATGTTTCTCTCTCTCCCATCTTTCTCTCTCTCTTTCAAATCAACAAAAACATATCCTTGGGTGGGGATTTTAAAAAGAAAGAAAGAATGAAAGCGAAGGGCCTCCTGCAGGCTCACGGAGGGCGCGCGGGGCTCTGGGGAGCTTTCTTCTCAGCAGTTCCTGAGATGTGGCTACCCCAGAACGTGGTGACTTGCGGAGAACCCGGTGACCTTTCCTGGTCACCTTTAGGCAGCTCCAGCTGCCCTCCCTCGGTTGCCACGACCTTGCAGACACTTGAATCTACCCTTCACTGAATCCTGACTCTCACATGTAAAACTGAAGCCCCTGGCACTTGGAAGACCACGCCTGTGGTTTGGACACGACACACCACTTCCATGCGGCGGTGCAGAGAGCGCCTGCCTCCCCCCCCCCCATCTTTTCTGAGCTGCCCCTCGGGATGCGCCCCGAGAGGACGCTTGTGTCCACTGGCTGACGCAAGACCAGGAGCAAACATGGTGTGGAGCCCACTCTCTGCACAGCCACCCTCCCAGACAGGGGGAGGCACACATTCAGGGTGGACCTATGTCCTGTTAAGTCCAGGGCAACAGAATTAGGGACGCTGCAGGGAGACACAGAAAGTTCAGCTTCAGGGGACAGGACGCCAGCTCTGGCCAATCCTGTCCGTCTGGAGAGAGGACTCCCCACAGGAGGCCAATGGTCCTGGCACGAGGGTAAGGAAGAGAGAATTCCAACAGCGTAGGTCTTGTCCCCCTCAGCCCAGCCCGTCCTCTGAGACTGTGGGCCTTCAGAAAGCCACCAAGGGCCCGGAGAACTTCGGGGCAGCTAGGGCAAAGTGCCCTTTGGGGATACTTAAGGCCACCCTCCTATGCTGGCAGGGGCATGGGCCAAAGCCTTTTGATCTTGAGCTGTCCTTGATCCTGGCATCCGCCTCTAGGAAAGAATTGTTTAAAAACTGGTTTGTATATTACACAGAGAAGGGCAGAGTGGACTTTCCTATTGCAAAACCAAGACGCTGCAAAAGGCCCTGTGCAAACGTCCCTCCTTAAAACAAGCTGTGCCCTTACCACGCAGCTACGCCCCAGGGGGAAGGAGACTCCCCACGGCAGGGGCGTGAGCCCAGGGTCCACTCTGTCCACTATGGTTAGTAAGAAAGATACATTCCCTTACTTTGATATACATATAATCTTCACCAGAGATTTTTTTCCATTGACTTTTTTTTATTTATAGAGTGTAAAGGAGTATGGGGCGAGAGAGAGAGAGAAACATTGATGAGAGAGAGACGTATGGATGGGTTGCCTCTCACAGGTGCCCCAACCAGGCCCAGGGATCGAACCTGCAACCCAAGTACATGCCCTTGGCCAGGAATTGAACCCAAGACCCTTTGGTGCTCGGGTCGATGCTCCAGCCACTGAGTCACACTGATCAGGGCACTTTGGTATTTTTTTTTAACTGTCTGCTCATCTTTGAACCTGGAGCTTCCTTTCTTGCCCTGAGTCCATGGATGGAAGCACCCAAGTGGTTTTTAGTGTATTGGGAACCAACTGAAAAGGACTGGAGCTAGGAAGCAGGTGGGAGGTCCGGCCATCGGGGGTGGGGAGCTGAGTCACCGCTGGGGGCTGGGAAGGAAAGTGTGCCATCTGAGGAAATGAGGAAAAGGCCCCTGGAAGCAGCACAGTGACGCCAAGCCCCAGGATCTCCCTCATAGGTTTATTGGCTGACAGTCCTTCAAAGGGAAAACGGAAGCTATGTCGTCATCATTGCTTTCAAAATCCTCAGCCATGTCCCCAGGGCAGGCGGCTGCAATAGCAAAGCTAGGAGTCAGCACCCAAGCTCCAGATACCAGGGTCATGGAGTTGATTCAGATGCCCCGCCCGCCTCCTTCTGAGGCCCTGCTTCTGGTTTCTAGAAGGCAGATGGTTGGCCTTGACCCTGGCATTCTGTCTGGCCGCTGTCCCCTTGCCCCCTAACCCCCACTGGGCAGGCCCTGCTGCTAGTTGCAGGCCCTGGCCCAGGGAGCGCTCAGCCTGGCATCACCCTGACCTGTGACCCCCTTGGCTCTCTCCTGTCTCAGGGGGGGCACTGGATGAGGCACACTGGGCTGAGGAGTACCCCACCTGCAGCGGGGAGAGGCAGTCGCCCATCAACCTGCAGAGGAAGATGGTGCAATACAACCCCGCCCTGCAAGCTCTGAAACTCACCGGCTACAAGGCCCAGGGGGGCGAGTTCTCCATGATCAACAACGGCCACACAGGTAAGGTGGGCGACAGGCCCCTGACCGTGGGTGGTCACCAGGGGATCTAGACACAGCCTGGGAGCTGGAGAGCTGGCCAGCGTTAAGGCCCTGACATGAGGAGGCTCTTTGGAAGTCGTGCAGCCGGTCTTTAGACTCGGTCCCCCTGGCTCCTTCAGTCCCGTTAGCTTCTCCCGCACTCACCCTGACCCAGCCAGCGGCAAATCCAGGTGACAGCGGCAATGCTGCCGAAGCCACACTACCCAGCGGCCTGTGTGCCCCAGTGTGATCTGTGCCCCAGTCTGATTCTCCTCACTTTCTCCATTGAGTCCGATCAGCTCAACGTGCCCAACAGGTAGGCCCAGCACTTCTCAGAGGCTTAAAAGTAGCACTTGTTTTCTGTTCCCTCCTAGAAAGGGGGTGAAGGTCAGGCAGGAAAAGCTGGGTCTGAGTGACCCCCGCGTCAGAAGCCTGGACTGGACAACGTAAAATCCATGCTCTGCATTTGCAGGACGTCCTGGAGGCCAGAAGCCTGTTCCTTTGGGTCCCTACCCCACCTTACAGCACATCAAACAGAAGGCACTCACAGCTCACCTTACTCATATTTCTTTGATGTATTTTGAAAGAGTTTTATAATTTAGCTTTTGAGATTATTTGGTTACTCTTTACAACTGGCTATACAACTGGTTTCCAGCAAGCTCCACACACATTCAGGAATTCTACTGAAGGAAAAATCCCTAATATACACATTTTCAAATGGAATGAAATGTCGAGTACCAAGTTGAACAATGCAGTTTACATGATGTAAATAAACATTATTAATTTTGATTTTTCCAGGGTTCGTTTAGTATTTTGGAACCTAAGATATAAATATATATATTTATTTATATTTATATATTATATAATATATATTTTAATAGACTTTTTTTTTTTAGAGCCGTTTTAGGTTCATAGCAAAATTGAGTGGAAAGTACAGCAATCTCTCAAACACTCCCTGCAGGCCCAGCTTAAGCCCATTATGAACATCACTCGCCAAAATGGTACATTTTTTTTCCTTTTTTGCCAAGGATGAACCAACATTGACACCTCCACATCACCCCAGATCCATAGTGTGCCTCAGGGTTCACTCCTGGTGTTGCACCTTCTATGGGTTGGACCAACACGTAACGACACATTACGACCATCATAATATCCTACGGGGTGGCTTCACTGCCCTAACTGTGCTCCGTGCTCAGGTGACTCTTCTCTCCTTCCACCCCAGCCCCTGACAACCACCGATCTTTTTGCCGTCTCCATAGTTTGACCTTTCCCGGAATGTCCTAGGGTTGGAATCACACGGTGTATGGCTTTTCAGATCAGCTTCATTCACTCAGTAACGTCATTTAAGGTTCCTGCAGGTCTCCTCACGGCTTGATGGCTCATTTCTTTTGAGCGTTAACACTATTCCATTGTCTGGATGGACCACAGCTCATTTATCCGTCCACCTACCGAAGGGCGTGCTGGCTGCTCCTGTGTTTTGACGGTTATGAGTAAAGCTGCTGTAAACACCTGCGCGCAGATTTTTGCGTGGACATAAGTTTTCGGCTCCTTTGGGTGAAATCCCGAGGGGTGTGATCGCTGGATCCTATGGCGAGGGCGTTTGGTTTCGTGAGAAACGGCTGCACTGTCTTCCCAAGGGGCTGCCCCACGGGCACTCCCGCCAGCAGTGAGCGGGGGCCCTGCTGCCCCCCGGCCTCGCCAGCCCGGGTGGGGCCGTTCTCACAGGCGCGCAGTGGTGTCCCGTTGCTGTTCAATTTGTGTTTCCCTGATGACACAGGGGTGAAGCATCCTGTCCTATACTTATGTCTGCCTCTGCACATTGTTCGGTGAGGTGCCCGTTAAGGTCTCTGGCCCATTTTCTGACCAGGCGGTTCCTTCTCTTGCTGTTGAGGGTGAAGAGTTCGTGTGTATTCTGGATAAGAGCCTTTATCAGATGTGGAGTTTGCAAACGCTTCCTCCCAGTCTGGGGCTTTTCTTCGCATTCTCTTGATACTGTCTTTCGCAGAACGGAAGTTTTAAATTTTAATGAAGCTCAGCTAATCAGTGATTTCTTTCATCAATCATATCCTCGGTGTTGCATTTAAAAAGGCATCACCGGCCCGGCCGGGCGTGGCTCAGCGGTTGCGCATCGACCTAGGATCCAGGCCATCAGGGTTCGATTCCCGGTCAGGGCACAGGCCCGGGTTGCGGGCTCCATTCCCAGCGGGGGGCGGGCAGGAGGCAGCCGATCAGTGACTCTCTCATCACTGACGCTTCTATCTCTCTCTCCCTCTCCCTTCCTCTCTCTGAAATCAATAAAGACGTATTAAAAATAAAAAATAAATGAAATAAAAAGGCATCAGCATACCCATGGTCATCTAGGTTTCCTCCGATGTTATTTCTAGGAGTTTTATAGTTTTGCATTTTACATTTAGGTCTGTGGTCCATTTTGAGTTAATTTGGGTGAGGGGCATAAAGTCCGCACCTGATTTATCCCTTTGCATGTGGCTGCCCAGTGTTCCAACACGATCTGTTGAAGAGACTTGGTTCCATTGTGTTGCCTTCGCTCCTTTGTCAGAGATCAGTCGGCTGTAATTATGTGGGTCTATATCCAGGCTTTCTATTCTGTTCCACGGGTCTGTTTGTCTGTTCTTGCGACGATACCTCACTGTCTTCATTACTGTAGCTCTTTAGTAGGTCTTGAAGTTGGGTAGTGTCAGTCCTCTGACTCTGTTCTTATTTAATATTGACTTGGCTATTCTGCATCTTTTACCTCTTCATGTAACTTTTAGAATCAGTTTGTTAATATCCACAAAATAACTTGCTGGGATTTTGAGTGGCATTGTGTTGAATCTATAGATCAGGTTGAAAAGAACCGACATCTTGGCAATACTGAATCTTTTTATCGAAGAACATGCAATATCCTTCCATTTATTTACTTCTTTGATTCATTCGTCAGAGTTTTGTAGTTTTCCTCAAACAGATTGTGTACATATTTTGTTAGATTTCTACCTAAATATTTAATTTGGGGGGTTGATAATGTAAATGGTATTGTGTTTTTAATTTCAAATTCTACTTTACGTTTTTATTTTTATGTGCCCCATTTTTATCATTATATTAAGCAGACATAATATTAAACAGACATAAGTTACATTTCAATAAAAAAGAAATTGAAAACACACCCGGATATTGAGACAAATTGCTACAAAAGTTTCTTAAGCTTATTCTCAATTTCTCTATTTTGTTGTGGACCAGTAATGGTTGGGGAGCAGTACTGATTCATATTTGTATTTTGAATATCCCCAAATACATGTTCATAGGCCCCAGGAAGGCTTAAAGGCCTAAGGTCCTGGGTTTTCAGTGTTCAATGGGAAAAACAACACTATTCTTTTGAGAGGCACTATCACCCCTCCACTGGTGAGTTCCTTGAGAGGAGGGACCATTCCTCATTGTCTATCCCAGCGCCTGGCCCAGAGCCCGGCATCAATGAGACGAATTCGAAGGAAAAAATTTGTGCGTGAAGGACAGACCCCGGAGAGACACCCAGGAGTCATGCAGGTTCTGAGCAGGTTTGGATCTTCAAAGGCTCTGCAGGAACAAGGGTGGTTTTGTCTTTTTTTGAAATAGTTTTAGACTAGAAAAATTGCAAAAATAGTACAGAGAGTGGCCATATCCCCTTGTCCCACTTCCTCTAACATTAACATCTTTACACCCTATAACCATACTTCACGGACACAACGTGCTTAACTACTCTAAAGACCTCTGCATATATTTGAATTTCATCTCTTTCCTGTTCATGTGCTCTTTCTGATCCAGGATCTAACCCGGGATCCCACACCATACGTTTCCATCCTGTCTCCTGAGTCCCCTCCTGCTGGGGTCAGTGCCTCAGCCTTTGACTTTCACAGCCTTGACCCTTAGCTGCTGTTACTGGAGCACAGAACATGCTCAGATCATGTGGGTTTTCTGGTCTGATAAGAGCTTAGTTAAGTTAGTTTCAAACAAGGGGGAACAACCTCTTCTGGAAGTTAAATCAATTTTCAGTATCTGGAAGGTGCCCCAGGTTGATTTTTGGGGACAGAGATTTGGCCTCACCTTTTCAAAAGCACAGGGACAAGCTCAGAATTGCTGTCATCTTTCAGTCTGGCCTGTGCGATCCCGTTGATCAAACTTGAGGATCCAGACATTCCGTCTGCAGGAAATTCGGTTTTAACAAGTTCTCTGTTATTGCCCGTGTGGGGCCAGCTAATTGCCCATTAGAAAGCTCTGGCCTGGTCCTCAGTTCTCCAGTCTCCTGGCACGGATGACTCTGAATATCTCCTTTTACAAGCTCTTCCATTTGTTTCCGTGTGAGCCCTGATTTCAAGGCTACATTTTAAGCACTGAACACAAAGCACCTGTTCTACCCAAGGGCGTGTGGAAATCCTGGAGGCGGATTTCTGCGATACAGACTGTTCCATTATGAATTTAATCACAGCTCCTGGATGCTTTAGACAAGTTGGAGGGAAAGAAGGGGCATTTGACAGGTACCAAACACCTAATATTTGCTGTGGGTTTTTTTATTATTAATATAAAAACACAACACACACTGGGTATTAATGAGAAAATAATTGTATACCTGCCGTGGATGCCTCACAATCACTATGAAGCCGAAGCAGAACCATGGCGCTGGAGGGGTTAGCATACACAGAGAGCCGGAGGCAGGGCCTAACATTCAAACGCAGTGTCGCTGCTTTTGCCCCCTCCTCCAAAAAAAAAAGTCATTTGGGTAAAGAGCAACACAAAATCAACATTGGTGGGTCACTTGCTGAATGCTTAAAACTCAGCAAATCTGGTTGTCACTAAAATTGGATGTATGCACCATCTCTAAACACTTAGGCTATTTTTTTTTTTCTCAATACATAGCTTAATTACATCCATGTTTAGTTGGAAAAAATGTTTAATTGTTGGTCTTCACAGACAAGAGTCAACGCTGTTTCAGTGTCCCTTGGTGTGCTTTCTGTGTGTGTGCGTGTGTTGTGTACACATGTGGACACTGATCACTACACTACTTCTGTGTAACTGCCCAGGGTGGGCAGCATGCTCGGGTGTAAAGAGGCAAGAAAATTGCTCTGTGTCATCTGAGTAGAGCACAGCCTGGCCTCCGGCCACTCACAGACCCTGTTTCCATAATTTCCAGACGAGAAAGCCAAGGCTTGTCAGTAGATAATCAGCTACGGAGGACAGTGACCGTCTCTAGACGCTGCAGAACGGACACTCAGGGAAGCCGTTAACGTCCGCAGACTCCAGACACCCGTCACCGTTGAGATTAACAAGCTTGCCTACTGTTGGGGGGCAGGGACGCGCATTGGAGGCCAAGTTTCCCCAAGTTTCCCTCTTCCTCCTGAAGGGCCAGGCAGGGATGACTCTCCTCCGGGGCTCTGTTAATATTTGCTGTGTTGGAAGATGGACTTGTCTATAACCATCTCCGATGGCTTTAAAGACCTTGCTAACAGGACAGATGCTGCCGGTCCCTTTCCAAGTCCTCAGTTATACCCTCGCAGATACTTCCCTTAGTCGCTCTCTGGTGTTTCGCCCCCATGTCTTCCTTCTGCTGGTTGCTCCAAAAGAGAGAGATTTCGCCAAGGCCTGAGCCAGCAAAGTGAAGAGCAGCTGTGTGACCGGCGCGACCTTGCTGTGGGAAGTCTGCAGGGCACCGGGCAGGGGGGAGCGAGAAGCGAGATCCGTTTCTCTGTTGGCAGGAGCCTAATGCTCCGGCTCATCCACTGGTAGTCACAGTCCAAGGAAATGCCAAGCCAAGGGCCTGTGGGTTTCCTGACTTGTTGCAGAATTTGGTCTCTTGTCCTTTGACAAGTTGCACCTGTGCTGGTGACAACGCTCAGTCCACGCCCAGTTCTGGTCCTGCTCTGCCCTGACTGATGACCAAGTGACTCTGAGCCTCTTTCCACCTCCCCTGGGTCGGCTCCCTTGCCCATGAAGTAAGTGTTGAAGGCCCGCGGGGCCGCTGCTGTACATGGAGCGGAGCTGGCTGTTAGTCGGGCTATTTCTAGAAGGCTCCCTGGGAGGATTTTAACCACGTTACGAAGATGACAAAGACCTCACGTTGGCCTTACACGCAGTGCTCGCTCCAGGCAGTAAAAGTCATCAAAATAGCCCAAGTGACCCCGCTTCCCGTTCTGACACCACAGGCAAATTCCAAAGTGGCCTGGAGGTGGAGAGTGAATTCAGGTTCCCACCCGTTGGCCGTATTATTTCAGGGCCTGTTCCTTCCCTGGGGCCAGCAAGCTAGACCTGCCACTTCGCGTCCCGCCCCTGACCTTCTGGTTCTGTGCGGGAAGGTGCGCGCCCTGGGAGAGGCGCCTGCCCAGCCCCGCTTACTGGGTACCAGTCGCCTCCTCCAGCGGGCGGCCCTGCTCGTGGCCGTCGGGAGGGCCGGTTGCCCCAGGAGCGAGCAGGTGGCCAGGGAGGCTGCCCAGCCAGCAGGCCCGACTCACCGCGCCGCCCGCGCCACTCGCTGCCCCTCGTCCTCTCTTCCAGTGCAGATCAGCCTGCCCCCCACCATGCGCATGACCGCCAACGACACCGAGTACGTGGCCCTGCAGATGCACTTCCACTGGGGCGGCGCGTCCTCCGAGATCAGCGGCTCTGAGCACACCATCGACGGCGTCAGATATGTAGCAGAGGTACCTTGAGGACCCTGACCAGGTCCGCTCTCCTTCAGGGCCCATAGTCGCTTCTCTTAGTCAAACAGCCACAGAGACGTTGTGCAGGGGTGATGGTCATGTCACGTGAGGTTGAGTGTCTTTTTCATTCATTCATAACTACTCATTGATCGCTGCTGTGTGCCGGGGGTTCGGCCAGGGTCCCCACCCTCAAAGAAGTCAGAGCAAGGCAAGAGTTTACAGCCCGCCGGGCGCAAGCTTCGCTTCCGGCTGGGTTTCTGTGCGCTGGATTCTCCGGGCTCCCTCTCTTGCTCAGATCTGTCCTTAGGTTCACAGTAGCCTCCTGGGACAAGTGGTCATGTCCACTCCATGGAGACCTCAGGAGAACCCAGGGGCCTCCTATCATCCCTCTGGACTCTGCCAGCTGGTCTACCTGGAGGGATGCCCTCAAATTGCTATATTCCCAGACCCCCACTCATGCTCTTTCCATTCTTGGAGGACTTTCTGGTCTTGACAGGTCTTGTGGTCTAGATGGAGGGAGACGCTGTTTGTGTGGGACAGTCTGAGGCCTCGGGTGGAGCCTGTTTTCCTCCTTCCTGCAAACCCGAAGCACTCAGTCTCTCTGAACTGCCCTTGACCTGCCTTTCCTTGTCCCCAGATGCATGTCGTCCACTACAATTCTAAATACGGTAGCTACGATGCAGCCAAGAACGCCCCGGATGGCCTGGCTGTGCTGGCAGCCCTCATTGAGGTAGGTGAGACGTCACAGTGCTGTCACAGGTCAGCGTCCACACAGGCATTAAGGGCAGGCCGAGGGTCCTCCTTCCTGTCCCTCCTCATCTGCTCCTGGGCTCGCAATCCCTGGACCTGCTGACTCGAGGGAAGGTTTACTTTTTTCTAGCGCACGTTCCTTCCGTGCTATCAAACTCGGGGACCTTGGACAAGTTGACCTAAGAGAGCTGGGGTCACAGAGGGCTGACTGGACATCAGCTGGCCCGAGGGGAGAGGGGAGCCTGTGACCCGCCAGGTGGAGGCAACACCTCTGCGATTCTAAGGAAGCCTGGAGGGTGGGACTTACGGCTCCTTGGCAACAAGTAGTCACTGAACCCCGTGCCCCCCAAACAAGTATTAAGGCGAACAAAATGGCCACAAACAACCATATCAGTGCTCTGGAAATGGACCAAAGGCAAACAGCAAACGGAGGCCTTCATTTGTGAAATAGCTCGAATTCTGAGTAAGAACAATGATAGTCTGTGGACGCCCCATCCCCACCCCTAACTGGGCCAGCAGGGTAGTTCACCAGGGGAGGCTGGGCAGGAAAACTGGCGGCTGCACTGCCTGGGGCAAGGGGCTGACTGGATTTGGGGTGTAAGTTGAAAACTCATGGTGGGAGGGCTGTCAGTAAAAGTAGCAAACTTGACAGAAGACAGAAGGAAAACTCCCAGCTCTGATAGCCTGCGGAGCAGTCCCAGTCGGGGTGCATGGCAAGTGGCAGAGCAGTCAGGGATTTACTGAAGAGGTCCTGGAAATGAGAGAGCCACAGAGGAACTGTCAGCTTCCCAAGAGGTGGGAAGTAAAAGGTGAGGCCAACTTAAGAACTGGCTGGACTTCGTGCTTCTAGACCCTCAGCCAGCTCCATCGGCAGAGGGTGCAGATCTGAGGGGCTCAAGGCATTTGAGCATAACTTCTGCTAGAAGCATTGACTGCCCACAAGCTCTGCTGGCCCTAGGTGGCCCCTAGGAATCCAGGCTAAACAATAAACACAATATTAAAGACGGAGCAGAGACCGATACACTCGGATGTGGAGGGAAGACGGCAATGTGACACTGGAAGCAGAGACTGGACTGATGCAGCTGTTAGCCAAGGGACACCAAGGGTTGCTTAGAATAACCGGAGTGGGAAGAGGCAAGGGAGGGTCTTCCCTGGAGCCTTCAGAGGGAGTGTGGCCATCATGGCACCGTGATTTCAGACTTCTAGCCTCCGGAGCTGGGAGAGAATAACTTTCTGTTGTTTTAGGAAGAAAAAACAAAACTAAATAGTAGATCAGAGACTTCAGCTGTTACACACTGCTGGGGAGATATATCCTGCTGACAAAGCCCAGGCAAATTACTAAACACACACACATACACACACACACACACACACAAACAAAAACACCTTAGGACAATTTTTAAAAATCAGAATTCACATTTGCTACCATGTATTACCTAAAGTGTCCAGTTTTCAACAAAAAAGTTGAGCATGCAAAGACAGAGGAAAATGTGACCCATATTCAGGAGAAGAAATGGCAGTCAACAGAAAGGGGCTCTGTGGACCCAGGGTAACTCTGCAGACAATGCTTTAAATCAATTGCCATAAATATGTTCAAAGGATTTTTTAAAACTACGTCCGAAGAACTAAAGGAAAATATGATGACAATGATCCTAAAAGGGAACTCTCAATAGAGAAACAGAAACTATAAAAATGCACCAAGTGGAAAGTCTAGAGCTGAAAAGTATAATAAACAAAATGAAAAAGTCCACGACATGGGCTCAACGCAGATTTGAGGCTGCAAAAGAAAGAATCGGTGCATTTGAAAATAGACCAAATAAATTATTCAACTTGAAAAACAAAGAACAAAGAAAAAAGACTGAAGAAAAACAAACATAGCCTTAGAGACTCATGGGGACAAGATCACACGTCCCAACATATGTGCAATGGGAGTCCCAGAAGGAAAGGAGAGAAAGTGGCAGAAGAAATGTTGAAGAAACAATCGCCAAAATCCCCCAAATTTGATGAAAAACATTAATGTACCAGGCCAAGAAACTCAACAAACCCCATGTCTGATAAACACCCAGACACATCCAAGTCAAACTGCCAAAAGCAATGAGAGAAAAAGAATGTTATATACACAGACTGACGGTACAATTAACGGCTGACTTCTCATTAGAAAAAAGTCACCAGCAGGCAGTGGAATGGCTGTCAACCAGGAAGCCTATATCCTAAACCACTCTTCAAAAATGGGGCGAAGTAAAAGACATACCCAGGTAAACAAAAACCGAGATAATTGCTAGCAGATGGGTCTTACAAGAAATATTAAAGGAAATCCTTACCACTGAAAGAAAATGACACCAGACAGTAATTTGAATCCACAGAAAACAATGAAGGGGGCCAGAAGTGGTAGGTCAGTGGGTAAATACAGGGTGTCCCCCAAAAATGTATACACACCTTAAGTAATTATTAATTCCAATGGGTTAAATTGGAAAAGAAACATCGATTGAGGTATCAGCTGTTAAAGTGTGTGTCGATTTTTGTGTGTGATACCCTATACAAAAGACCATCTATATATATTAGTATATATATTAGTATATTTCTCAAAATAACTTAAAGCAATAATAAACCAATGTATTGTTGGCTTTATAATATATGTAGATGTAATTATAGGTGATGAAAGATGTGGAAGAAGTAGAGCTATATTGGAGCAAAGTTGTTATATTTTACTAGTTAAGTTAGTATCCACCTAAGTTGTATATTGAAATCACTATGAAAATAAGCAACCCTAAGAAAATAACTAAACATGGTTAAATTAGAAGTATTTGTTGAACACAAAAGGTAGAAGAGAGGAACAAAAAAAGGCATGACACAGTTAGAAAATAAATAGCCAGTGGCAGTTATAATCCCAGAAATTTGGATTTATACACCACGGAAAAATTGGATCAACTCCATTGACTGGAAAGAACCATGAAAATAGACCTTTTCCACCAAAAGCAACTTTTCTGACTTTAAAAAAGTCAACTCATATAAAAAATGAAGAGCAGCCTGGCAGTAGGCAGAACTGGAGCAGTCAGGTCCTGATAGGGTCACCGGGGATAGTCTAACAGTGACCTCTGGCTCTTCTCTGAGGGCATCACCAGTCACCAAGAAGTTGCCAAAATGTTTCAGAGCTTGTCTGCCTGGGAGAGACTAGTCAGCCAGGCAGTCGCTGGCAAAGAACAGCCAGATTGTCCCCCAGCACAACTTGGGGCATGGATGGCTGTCCCCTCCCAACCCTTGGCTCTGCCCAATCAGCCAGAACACTGGCAGGTGGATCAGTGGGGACAGGCCACAGTTTCCTCCCACTTAGGTTACTGCTCTGTTTCTCCTGCAGATCAAGGACTATTCTGAAAACACTTACTACAGCGACTTCATTTCTCACTTGAAAAACGTCAGGTACACAGGTAAGGGAAGCCAGCAGCAGCTGCAGGAGGAAAAGGAATGAGTGTGAGGTGGGGACGGGGCAAGGAAGGGGGGCGCTGGCAGGGAGGGTGGCAGATAGCCCTGCGAGAGGTGGGCACCCTCCTTGTGCGAAGTCTCTTTTTCCAACAATTCCTGCTGCTGGCTCAGGCCTCGAACCCTCTGAGAAACCTGCTCATAAACTACCTGTCATCCCCACCATTGGGACTTCTGGGTGGCCAACGCTATTTTCACTTAAGTGACTCTCACCTCTGGCCCCAGCTGGAAGAATGATCCTGGTCCCTAGAGAGAGATGCCATTTTTAGGGTCAAGCCAGGAAAATTGCAAGATGGAAGCCCCTTGTCATTGTGCCTGGACACGCAGACACGGGGGCTGGTCTTCCCTCCCCGTCTCCAGAAGGCCAGTTCTTGTCGGAGGGATCACCTACTCCCATGGTCAACCCTTGACCTTGAGCAATAACCACATCAGCTTTGAGGCCCTGGTTTTGTGTATCTCACTTTGGCCACGTCTCCGAGACTCCGGTTCCCTGACTCCTGTTCTCACCCCTTCCCCAGCTCCCCTGGCCTCCTCCATGGGCCTCTCATCTCTCTTTGCCAGGCTGGGAGTCCGCAGGATCGTTCTGACAGCCCAGCAAACGCTCTACACACCCTCGGCCCTTTTTACCCCCGCAGGCTCACCTGCCAAGGCCCCAGAACAACTCGCAGCCAAATGGCTGAATGTGGCTGGACAGAAACACAGACATCTAACTGGCATTATTTTTATTCATAGCTACAAATACGGACAGGTACCAATACTGCCCAGAAATCTTAAACTGCTACTCTGGGCATTTCTTTCCCCTCTCCAAAATGATCGCCTCGCGTTTCCTCCTCTGCCCGGGCCTCAGCTTCTCGCCTCTTACTAATCAAGAAGAAACTCACCATCTCTCACCTGCCAGCACCCGACCAAACTCCATGTCCCCACCTCTGTTACACCTCTGTTACCCTAATCCTGCCCACCACCACCCTCCACGCGAGCGTGACCCCTCATTCCAGGGCCTTTTCTCCGCCCGCTCCCCTCTCTCCTACATCACTGATTTCGGATCATTCTGCTCAGCGCACAACTCTGCTCCAATACCTCCCACCTCAAAACACAAACAAACAAAAGCGTCTCTTGGCCCCACCATTACCCCCAGCTTCCAAAGCATTTTCAGCTCCCCTTGAGAGAGTCGTCTAACAGTCCTGTTCCCTTTTTTTGTCCACCCCAAGCTGGCCCCGCCACTTCACGGAGCCTTCAAGGTCACCTCTGTTGTCGGATCTACTGGCCAATTTTCTCTTCTCTTAACCTTAAAACAGTGACCCATTACACACGGCTCTCGTGCAGCAATGGGTGTGGGTGCTGTGGGGGCTTCAGATGCCCTAGGGACCCCTCTCCTGCATCTCACCTGTGGTCGAGCCTGGTTCCCACGGGCATGGCAGGAAGGGCTCGGGACCAGGCGCCCGGGCTCAGGACCAGACCCCTGCTTGGTTCTGATTCCACCTTTCCAATCCCTATCCACCCACTTTTAAATGAGTCCACACCAAAGAATTTTGTCCCTTCTTTGAGGCCACTTACCCAGAAGCCACTAGGAGTCATAGTTAATTTCTTACATTTATCATAAGGCACATCCTCGGCCTAACAATGGCGACAATGACGAAGACAGTTACACTGGAGTACTTTCCCGTACGCTGGTTCCAGGCCAGCGCTTAACAAGCACATTCCCCTGCACCCCAGCAATCCTACTGATTGTTCCCTTGTTACAGACGAGGAAGGGCCGGGGGGGTAGCTGAGGTCTCTGCTCTTCACCCCTTCCAGGAAGCAGAAAACTGGGGAAATGGTTCCCAATAATCAGCTTCTATGTTCTTCGGCTTAGATCAGGAGATTTGAATGTGGTGAGGTCTGAGCCTGAGCTGTCCTCCCAAGGGGCAGCAGCAGTCTCTAACATTTCTTTTTGAAAAAAAATGTGTTTTTATTGATTTTTTAGATAGCGAGGAAGGGAGAGGGAGAGATAGAAACATTGATGTTTCAGCGATCGGCTGCCTCCTGCACACCCCCTACTGGGGATCAACCTCTTGGTCCACAGGACAACACTCCATCCACTAAGCCACACCAGCCAGGCTCTAACATTTCTCTATCTGTTGTCCCCTCTGTTAGGACAAACCACAGTTCTGAATGACCTTGATGTCCAGGACATGCTGCCCCCAAACCTCCACTACTACTACAGCTACAAGGGCTCGCTCACCACTCCTCCCTGTACGGAGAATGTCCAGTGGTTTCTGCTGGCAGACTTTGTCCAGCTCTCCAAGGCACAGGTAATGCGTGGCATCACTTCACCAAAGGCTCCCCTTCTGATTGCCTGGTTAACAAGAGTGCTCCCCCAAATCTCACACAATGCCAGCTCCTGGGCTCCTATGGTATTTTCCATGTACAGGGCTGCTGTGCCTCACCCATACTGCCATGGGTGGTCTTACTAGTGCTGTGGCAGAGATGGGCAGACAGGCATCGCAGCATCCAAGGAACCATAGGTGATGTAGCAAAAGAGCAAGGGGAGCCTAATCCAGGTCATAGAAGAGTTGCATAGTGAAGGCACATATTCATTGAGTGCTGCTCTCAGAAGCAGTGTTCTAGGCCCTTGAAATACAAAATCCCTGTCCTCATGGAGCTTACATTCTAACTTCAGCAATGGCTTTGTGCAAGAAGGATGGCTTCATATTTAGGTCTTCACCATGCTAAAATATCTGGAGCCTTTTGAGGAGAAGAGCCATATCAGTCACCTCTTGTCCTCCAGCATAGCGCAGGCACAGAAATATTTGTTGAGTTAAATAAAGGACAGAGGTACTGCGGTCGCAAAGCAAAGGTGACTTTTCCTTTTGGGTGATATTCTTCCTCAGAAAAAAAAAAAAAATTTCTTTTTCTTAAACTTTTCATTTCCCTACTCCAGGAAAAGGTGGAAAGACCCGTATTCAAGGATACCCATACACAAAAATGTTGCCAACCAGGCTGGAAGTGCCCCAGATACCTAATAGAAGCAAATGTAAATTATCTCAGGAAAAGTGCACCTTAAATCCATATGTTAAAGAATTTCCACAAAGCTACCTGAAATGAGCTCAATTAGAAATAAAATTGCAAAAGGCACAAGGAAAAAGACTCTATGAGTGACTGTGAACAGAAATAGACCTACAAAGTTTTCAGATAGTAAAATTATCAAACAATTAATATAAAATAAGAATGCTTATATGTGTAAAATGCATAATATATATAAACATATTTAGTATATTTATTGTGAGGTTTAAATATGAGAAAAGAACAAAAAAGTATAAAAATGACCAAGTAGACTTTAAAAAATAAATAGAATTTCTAGGAATGAAAAGATAGTAACTTAAATTAACGCCACAATGAATACATTTAATAGCATGTTAGACACAGTTCAAGAAAGAATTAGTAAACTGGAAGACAGAGTTGAGAAAATTACCTAAATGAAGCACAAAGAGAAAAAGAGGTGACAATATGAAAAAGAAGTAAAGAGACAGAGAATATAGTGCAAAGAGCTAACAACTACCTGGTTGAAACCCTAGGGGAAGAGAGGTAACATAGAGAAGAGGTACAATTTGAAAAATATTGGCTGATAAATTTTCAGAAGAGTTTAAAGACACCAAGTCATCTATTCAGGAAGCCCAAAGAGTCAATGTAAATTAAAAAAACAAAAACCAAACAAACATTAAACACATCACAGTGAAAACACAAAATATTAAAGAAAAAATTTAAAAATTAGCCAGAGAGAAAAAACAAATTATCATTAAAAGAGCATTATCATACTGAGAGATGACTCAACATAGCAACAGTGAAAGTCAGAAAGCAGTGAAATTGTATTTTCAAAGCACCAAGAGAAATGACTAGCTGATCTAAAATTATACATGTAGCAAAAAATGTCTTTCAAGCTTGTAGACAAAATACAGACATTTTCAGAAAAACAAAAATTAAGCTTCTTGCTTGATATGTCTGTTTACGTCTTTCTCTCATTTCTGTTGTTGACCAAATACTCATAGAAAAAGATGAAGAAAGGTTTTTGGAGGAATAAGTGGATGAAGATCTTCTGCCTGACATGCAGCACCCAAAACCTCCTCTGGGCTTGAGATCTCACAGTCAGAGTTACATAAGCCCAAGATCTAGTCCAATTTCTAACTAAACTCACTCACTGTCTCTTCCTTTCCATAATTCACTTCTTGTTGACTACAGGTCTGGAAGCTAGAGAATTCCTTACTGGATCACCAGAACAAGACCCTCCACAATATTTACCGCAGGACTCAGCCCCTCAACAACAGAGTGGTGGAAGCCAACTTCATGTATCACCCTAATTATCGTAAGATCAACTCTTATTTATTCTTTGTAATTTGTTGACACCTGTTTTCTTACTTCTCTCGTGGACCTATCTCTTCTGACAATAGAAAGGGAAGGAGAGGCATCTAAGCAGCAGGAGGCTCACATGGATCAATTTGTACAGGCCATGGTAAAGGGGGTGACTCACAGTCCAGGCAGTGATGCCAGTGAGTAGAACAGAGGAGTCAATGAGGATGGCTGACTATATGATTTACTATCTACCTGGTCCTGGCCAGAGATAGTAGGAGCAAGATGTCAGCAATATCCAGACACTCCCATAAGAACGTAGGCTCAAGTTAACCTTATTTGACTCAACCTGAGTTACTTCCCACACACTTTTCTCTTGGTCAGTAGCCCAAGCCCATCTCAACTCCTCCTATATGTTCCCTCAAGGTAGGGTCAACCAGACCACGTATTGATCTACATTTACTTGGGGGTCAAGCCCTGATACCATGGTGCTGGGTGTAGGTATAGCAGTCCAACTTCCCCTGGAATCACTAATCCACTGGGTCAGGCTCCATCTGTGTTCTTGGCTAACCTCATCTCTGTGATTATAAGAATATAAATACTCTGCAATTCTCCCACCTTTATTTTTTGTCTGCTTCTCTGACTCTACAGTCTATTTCTATTGACCATTCCTGACACTTTTACAACCTCTAACACCATGGAATTGGTCTCCAATCATTATTACCCTACCTTTACATGTCTCTTTTAAGATTTTTAAATCTCCATACATACCCCCCAAAATAAAGACCCATTATGCTTTTCTCCCCATGCTTCCTTCCTGGTTCATGTATCGATTTCCTTTGCATCAGTTTGCCCCTCAATACAATACCAAGAGAGAACATAACGATACCAGCTATCATTTCCCCATATTATACTATATGTGAGATTAACAGTAATGATCCCTTTTTCAAAATGGTGACATCTTCCTAAACAGGGCCAGTTGCTAGCAGGCCTGCCTCCTTGTACTAACTTTGCCATGTTCCTATTTTCCCAAATAAAATTTTATACTATTCTTTTTTTTTTCCAATCCTCACCTGAGGATATGTCTTTATTAATTTTAGAGAGAGAGGAAGTGTGTGTGAGGGAGAGAGAGAGAGAAAGAGAGAAACATCAATATGAGTGAGAAACATCAATGGGTTGCCTTTCATATATACTGACCAGGGATCAAACCCATGACTTAGGTTATGTGCCCTGACTGAGAATCGAACCAGCAACCTTTTGGTGTACGGGACACTGCTCCAACTAACCGGGCCACCCTGCCAGGGCTACACTATTACTGCAATAGGCACAGATTGTAGTTTACCATATGCCACATCTCAAATGCTTTGTCTACTTGGCAGGGGTGGGGGTGTCACTCCAATGTACCCTCATGAAGGAGCTCAGATGTTCCAGATACAAGTACCTCTAGACCACAATGCTCCGTGTTGCTGTTTGCCTGTAGGTCCACTATGGCCCTTCTGAGTCTCATTGCTTAGGATGATTACTCTAACTCCCAGGAGATAGTAAGAAGGATCTGAATGATGGCCTGACTTTGCTGATAAGAGGACAGAGAACTTGGCATCACCCCCTCCACCTGTCCTCAGGCCCAGACTTCTTTGTAGCAGTAGTGACTGTCTCCAGTCAAGCCGGTTGGGTGACCCATGATCTATCTCATAGTTCTACATCTCATAGTTCTATAATGTGACCAACCTGTCAGTGAGGAATGACCTCAGAAACCAAGGTCAGTTCCAAAAACAAGACAATGGTCACATACAGACCTCTGGCAATTTGTTTATTAGAAAACACCTATGTACCCTAAGTAAGGAGGGGCTACTGGACATCCCATGAGAAACTAAGATGTGAGAGTGGAACCACCCAAGACATGTCACCCCTTGGATTTTGGCAGCTTGCAAGCCTACATTCAGACACAGCGAAGATGCTGGAAGCCAACTGGGTGGACACGTGGGCATTCTGGGGAACCAAACACACTTCCTTGAACTCATGTGCGGGGTGGGGTATCTGGCTGTCCCCCGTTCTCTGTTTTCATGAGGACCTCCAAAGTTCTGATCTCTTTCTATGAACTCTTCTTTTTATAGACTATAATCTAGGCTCTGAGCTCCAGTTTTACCTGCGCAAGATCAAAAGTAACATTGATTACCTGAGAAAACTTATTGAGAGGAAAGGGACGAGAAAGGCGGATTTTAAGCTGGTAGAGTAGCCGGCGCAGGAAGAGCCCGTGCCCTGCCAGCTCCAGGCCTCCTGTCCGGAAGCCCCCGAAGCACCTGTTGAGTTTCTGATTTGACCCCCCTCCACGGAAGGAAGCGAGACGGCTGAGCCGTGTGCGAAGAGATGCAGTAGACACCGCCAACAAATTGAAAGGGCCGACTACCCTCCCATCGAATCATGCACGCTGATCTTTCTAAATTATGAACCAGCTCTAAACTTCCCTGTAGCATTTAGCTGTAATAAATAACTTTGGAAATTTGTCATTTGGGAAAATTTCTCTTTTCTCTGCCTTTGTGACACTTCAAATATCCCTTCCGTTTCCTGTCCCGAGGGCCCCGGTGACGGCGTAGAGATCAGATCGGGAGGGATTCAGATGAAGAGCAAGGACAGAGATTCCTCCTCGGGAGCCGTGGGGGGGGAGCGTCGGAGCAGCGATCGTGGCCTGCGAGGACGCGCGAGAAAGGCCGGGAGAGGCGGAGGGAGCACCTTGTTAGTGGCACGGCGTCTGGCCTTGTTGTCACTATAATTTCATATAAAAAGATTGTATATGCAATGAGTGTTCCAACGGGTCCCCCAGTACGTGGCATTATGTTATATTTCACAGAAGATACCAGCATTCCACACCCTAGGTTAACCTTTGTATTTCTAAAAACAGTGAGAGACATATTCCAAATAGTTAAGTGCGTGAAACAGTCTGTGACATGACGCTTAATCAATACATTCGTAAACGCTATTAGCAAGCTGTCTGGAACAGTGCAGTTTAGGGTTCGAATAATCTGTGCATCGTGTAGACCTGTAGTGACGCGTTAGAACATGCAGACTTCATTCCTACCACGGGGCATTTTCACACTGCTTTTAGCGCAGACTATGATTAAAGAAACTCCTGTGCAGTGAATGTTACAACGTGAGACCCCAGTCAATGGCATTATAATATATTTCACGGAAGACATCAGCATTGCACAAAATAGGTTCCCCATGTATCAATTCCAACTGTTCTCCATTCGTCATGCGTGCACTAGTCTTGGACCATATGTAATCAATACATTTGCAAACGCTGCTCGCAAAAGCGTTGGATCGCAGAACTAAATGAAATTCCTGCTAACTACATAATGAAGGTTCCCAAACGCTCCCATGGTAAATCATTACAGTGTAATATTCCAAAGAAGACGCCAGCCTTCCACACGCTGAGTAGCCCTGTATTCCATCAGAGTGAAACGCATTCGCAGAAGTTAATGCAGGCATCAGTCTTTGGCATACGTATAAACAAGACATCAGCAAAGGTTATGACAAAACCTCCTGAGAGTTGTCCACTTTTAGTGTTCACTGGGCCGCGCCCGGTGCAAAACCTGTGAACTGTTTGAACACTTAAGAATTAATTCGTACCAACTGGTATTTTGACGAACTGTGTTTAGCACTGACTATAATTACTAAATAAAACTTCTAATGCCTATGTAATAAATTTTCCAGCATGCTCAAGTAAGTGGCGTTATATTATAATATAATATTATAATATTCCACAGACGATGTCAACACTGCACTGCACCTGCGTATTCCTTCGAAACATGAAACACGTTCCCCAGAGGCGAGGCGGGAACTAGTCTATGACCCTGCAGCCGTCGGCGTGGGAGCGCTGCCAGCAAGCTCTGCCTGGAACGGCCTAGCTGCAGTGTTTCAGTGAGCCGTGCATTGTGTAAAACCTGCCGTGAATTGTTTGCAAACTCTTAGAATTAATTCCTACCAGGCGTGATTTCGGCAAACTGTTTCTAGCACAGGCTATAATTACTAAATGATACATCTACCAGTTACGCAATGAACGTTCCCAAGTGCTCTCCAAGTAAATGCCTATTATATTATAATATCTCACAGAAGAGAACACGATTCCACCCACTAGGCTTGCCTGGGCATTCCTTCAAAGGGAGAACCATATTACCAATAGATAAAGCTTTTAATAGTCTAAGATATAACATATAATCAATCTATTCATAAACGTTACTGGCAAACAGTGTCTAGAACAGTCTAGCATTGGTATTTCAAAAGTGTTCAATTGAAATTTTAGAACTTTTTAGTCCATTTTAGTCTATTATGCTTGCTCAGTTGTTTTTTAAAAATATATCTTTATTGATTTCAGAGAGAGGAAGGGAGAGGGAGGGAGAGAGAGAAACATCAATGATGAGAGTCATTGACTGGCTGCCTCCTGCACGCCCCCTGCTGGGGGTCGAGCCCGCAACCCGGGCCTGTGCCCTGACCAGGAATCGAACCGCGATCTCCTGGATCCTAGGTGGATGCTCAACCGCTGAGCCACGCCCACTGGGCTGCTCAGTTGCTGTTTTTTTCCATTGCTTTTCAGAGAAAATGGAAGGGAGAGAGAGACAGAAACATCCACGTGAGTGGAAGTACTAAAGAGCTGCAAATTTTGTAAATGTCTAACCCTAGAGAATTAGTTTGGAGATGAGGCTGGCATGAAGGGGTGTGTGCGTACAAAGAAATCTGGAAGGTTCCACACCAAGGATTTAAACAACCATTTCCTGTGTGGGTTAGAGTACGACTTTTTAAATTTTTTATTTTTTCTATCTATTTATTTATTTTTATTTTGTTAATCTTCGCCCGAGGACATTTTTTCCCCATTGATTTCCGGGAATGGAACCCGCAACCCAGGTATGTGCCTTTGAGCTGGAATTGAGCCCGCAACCCTTCAGTGCTTAGGCCTACGCGCCAACCACTGAGCCACACTGGCCAGGGCTAGAGTATGACTTTTCTGATGAACAAGCATTGCTTCTGTAAAAAGAAAAAAATGAAGCAAATATAATAAAACGAAAGAAGGAATGAAGGAAAAAGGTCTAGAATCTTCTAGAATTTCACATTTTCCACCTTTTTTGGAGTCAATTATATTAGTTCTGTTTAATTTTATTGAAAGGCTGAAAAATGAAAGTCTCCAACCATTGGTGAACATTTTTATAATTTTTATGAAAAGTGTAAATATTACTGTTTATGTTACTGCTTATTGTTAATTTCTGATTTCAACTTTTCAGTGTTACAAACAACACAAAATAGGAATTTGGATGAATTTAGTTTAAGAACTAAAAACAAACAAAAACATCAAAGGAAAAAATTAAAAAACTTTAGGTGATATCAATTTGGGGCTAATATTATTTCCCTCGAATGGGAAGTGCAAACACTTTCCTAACCGACCTGCTGAAGGGCACACCCTCAGCCCAAGCGGAAAGAATCTGCTCTTCAAACAGCCACAGAAGCAGATTCCTGGCGTCAGCAGGAGGCGCCCTCAGGGCCTCCCTGGGAGCAGGAGCTGGGGAGACCCCTCAGCAGGCCCTGGGATTTCCATTCCAACACCGATTTCCGTGAGTTCATTGAGCTCGAGAAAAGGTCTGAGAAACAAAATATCCCTTAGAGACAGCCCATCAGCTCTCCCAAGGTGCTCTCAGTGGGTGTTCCTCCCACCGGTGCCGGTGCCCGGAGTTTCCCCAAAGGCCACCGTGCTGGTGCCAGGTTGTGACAACCTAACCAAAGCAGAGGTTTTGCAGAGGACGGTCCAGGGGCTGAGCTGACCGCTGTGATTGTACAGCGGGTGCTGCCATCCAGCGGCCACTGTGAGGATGGCGTGGCCTGTGCCCAGGGGACCTGAAAGCCCTATCCATCCCCACCCCTTTTTTTTCATATTGGTAAACTGAGGTACTTAGGAGGACCTAGAAAGGTCACGTGATGAGTCACAGGCATATCAGGGACAAACAGCACAGGATGTGTCCCTGGAAGGCCTGGGATTACACGGGGCTCTGGTCCCCCTTGTCTCCATGTCCTTTTTGAAATTCAAAGCACCTTTCCACTTGGGTGACAGATGCCCAACCCTTCCTATCCACCCTGGGGGTGGGGCTTGAACCCCAGCTGAATGGACAAGCTGGCCATTCACGCCCTTCTCGAGCCAGCTGACATCTGAGCGCAGAGGGGACCACTGTGCGAAGCAAGTCCGCTTAGTTTGAGGTCCCCGGAGAAGAGCCTGGGTCCAGCATCCAGGGCGAGCAGTTCGTTTGAAAAGTGGAAGAAAACATTGGTCCAGGGGTGGAGAAATGAGCCAGGGAGAGAGCAGCCTGCATGGTGTGCTGCGGAGCCAGCCACCAACAGGCACCTGTGGTTTTGTCCCCAAAGGTTACAAGAGGAAATGTGTAGAACACACTCAGGCTGAGCCCACTTGAGGTGCGAGGGCCGAGGGAACGGGGGTGCCTACACGCCAACTCCATCAGCCCCAGGGGCCGGGGGTCTGTGGGTGGCCACTCCCCAGCCCTCCTGGCTGCAGCTGGGCTCAGGAATGCCCTGGGGGAGAGGGAAGGGGCCAGACAGGGACCCCGAGTCAGCCAGAGCACACGGGTGTCTGCCCCCCCCACATCGACACACTTAATCCCCTCAACAACGCTATGAGTAGACACGGAGCTATCATTATTCCCATTTTCACACAGGAAAGGAGACAGAAGTAACTTACCAAAGAGCAGAGCCAGGACCGCAAGCAGCAGGCTGGTTCCAGCGTCCATGCTGCACTGGCTGGTTTTGCAGGTGATGAGCTGCCTGTCAGTGGAGGCACCCAAGCAGAGGCCTGGTAACTGTAGGACTGTTGAACAAGGGATGCCTCCTGGGGACAGGGACTACGAGACAGCTAACTAAGGTCCTTTTCAACCGAAATCCATGATTTTATGAAGAGGAAGGAGAAGTATCTGAAAAACAGGTCCAGGCAGCCAACCAGAGGATGGGGAGGGACTAAGGGAGGCCTCTGTTGAGTGGGTTTCACAGCAGACACCTGACCCCACACCTTGAGCCAGTTTTCTCTCTGAAGGGTTGCTCGTCAGAGCCCAAACCCTGCCAGCTGTGTGACCGGCCTGCCCTGAGCCGCCTGCCCAGCCCTGAAGACCAGGGACTGAGCCTCAGGGAAGCTCCAGGCTGCCCAGACCCCACGGGACAAGGCCAGCTCCACTCCACACCGCCTGGCCCAGGGTCCTCATCTGCAGAGTGGCGGAGGCGATGGGTCCCGTCTTTAATGTTCCTCCACTGCCAAAGTTCTGTGACTGTGGGTCCAGGCGAGGAGGCCAAGCCTGGGCTTCCAGAACAGTCCAGCCACTCCTGGTGTAGCTGAGAACAGCACAGTCTGAGTCACAGAAAAGCCTGGGCTATGGCGTGATTACAACATACTGGATGTTGTCCTCATTCGCGTGCACAACATGTGGCAACTGCTAATCAAGCATCTAGAGGAGGAGGTCCTATTGGTCCTGCTTTAACACATAACTGATTTTCAGTATTTCCTTCCATGCACGAAAACTGAATTGCTGCAGCTCTTTAAAAATGAGTCTGCTTTAGAGGGTTTTCCACTCACGCCCACACACTGCCAGCCTTGGCGTATCAAGTCCAAGTGCAACTGTGAATTCCAAAGAGTGGGATGTGGCCAGATGGCATTCCCGGTGCCTCACCCCGAGACCTTGGCTCACACCCTTCCTTCCTGGGGACCTTGACCTGGGCACCCTTCCTTTTCTGCAGAGTCACCTCTTTGCAGCACCTGGGCTCAGGCACAAAGATTAGGGGGTCCGTGCGAGCCAACCAAAGTACAAAGGGCCACTGTTCATTCGGAAAGAAGACCTGAGACCGGGGCATGTGGAGTGACTCAGCCTGAACCCCAAACCTCAGAACAACAACACTGATGAGGCCACCCAGGGAGAGGCTGCAGCTGTGACAACTTGGAGCCACGGGTCACCTGCCCACAAATCAAACCCAATCAACAAGCCTTCACTGGACACCTGCTCCAGGTGCTGAGGAGGCACCGAGTGAAGACCGTCAAGAACTTTGCTCTCAAGGCTGCCCCTCGTCCACGGGGTTGATGACAGAGGGACGGCTGTTCCCGTGCAACTGACAAGGGAAGAAGTCCCAGGAAACTCAGGGGCTTGCTTTAGGGCATCATGTCTGTGACAAAGTGGGGACTAGGCTTTTCAGGGTCACATCAAGTCCCCACCTCGTGTACAACCACTAAGAGACAGTGCGGTTTTACTAATGTGAAATTTAAAACATTTTTTATTAATCGTTTCTTGTTTAAAATGTACAGATGTTCTGACATATGTACACTTCCCGGTTTTCACCCCGATGAAGATAATAAACATTTCCGTCGTTCCAAAAGTTTCCCCCCAGTAACTGCTGATCCAGTTCCTGTCACTATAGATGAGTTGGCATTTTCTACGACTTTGTATAATTAAAAATAATACAGCATATATTTTTTTGGACTGGCTTGTTCCATGGAGCAGAATTACTTTGAGGCTCATGCATGTTGTGGCACGTGGCAGGATTTTGTACCTTCGCCTTTGAGAAGGAATCTGTAGGGATCCCTGTAGGGACCGACCACAGCTCGTTCCTTCACTCACCCAGGGATGCCCGTTTATGCGGGTCCAGGTTGGGGCCGTTACGAATAAACCTGCCTGGAACATTTGGGTAGGAGCCTCTGTGCGGACGTGCGCTTTAATTTCTTTGGGTAAACACTCAGGAGCGGAACGCTGGATCACATGGTAGAAGTTTAACTTTTTTAAGAGACTGGGAACCTGTTTTTGAAAGTGGCTGTCCCCTTTTACACCCCTGCCAGCAGCATACGAGGGTTCCGTTTTCTCCACTTCTTTGTCAACACTTGATGTAGTCGGTCTTTAATTTTAGGCCCTCTAACAGGTGTGTACTGGTATCTTATTGTGGTTTTAACCTGTATTTCCCTCATTACTAATAACATTGCGCACCTTTTCATGTGCTTGTTTACCATCCTGCGGCGTCTTTGGCGAAGCAGCCGTTCAACCCTTTGGCCCATTTTTAAACTTGAGTTGTTTTCTTATGACTGAGCCCTGAAAGTTCTTTATACGTGACCCATCTGTACATCTAGAGACACGTCTTTCTCAGATACATGATTTGCCTACATCTGTGCCAGTCTGTGGCTTGTCTTCTCATTCTCATAACAGTGTCTTACAAATAGCAGAAGTTTGGAAATTTGTCCAAGTCCAGTTAGTCAATATTTTCTTTTGGGGATTGTGCTTTTGGGTTGGTGTTTTTGTGTAACCCAAGCTCACAAATATTTATCTCCTATGTTCTATTCTAGAAGTTTTATAAAGTTTTAATTTAGGCCTATGGTCCATTTTGAGTTAATTTTTATATATGATGTAAGGTATGGATAAAAGTTCCTTTTTTCCACATATGGATATAATTACCCCAGTACATTTGTTGGAAATACTATCCTGTCACCATTCAGTTGCTTTTGTCAAAAATCAGCTGTCTCTGGCTGTGGGGGTTTATTTCTGGGTTCTTTATTGTGTTCCATTGGTCTATCTGCTCTACCATACTGTTTTGATAACTGTAGCTTTATAGTGAATGTTGACGTGCAGTCATAAGTCCTCCAACTTCAGTTTTCTCAAAGTTGTTTCGGCTATTTCACGTTTTTTGCATTTCCGCTTGTCAGTTTCTACCCTCCCCCAACCAAAGCCTGCTGGAATTTTGATTGTAATTGTGTCGAATCTAGAGATAAATTTGGGGAGGGCTGAGCCAACCTTGCACTCCTAAAAAGCCCCACTTGGTCAGGATATATTATTGTCCTTATATTATTGAATTCTATTTGCTAAAATTTGGCTAATAATTTTTGTACACACGTTCACGAGGGGTATTAATCTGTAGTTTCCTTGGTAACATCCTTAGTTTGGTTTTGAAATTGGAGTAACCATGGCTTCAGACAAGGAGTTGAGAAGTAGCCCTTTCTCTTTTATTTTCTGGAAGACATGTGTCAAATTGGTATTATTTCTTCCTTAAATGTTTGGTAGAATTCACCAGTGGACCCATTTGGACCTGGAGTTTTCTTTGTGGGAAGGTCTTTAACTACAAATTCAATTTCTTTAGCTGGTGTAGAACTGTACGGGTCATCAATTACTTACTGAGTGAGCTTTGGTACTTTGTGTCTTTTGATATAGGGCTCTCCTATTTCCAAGGCAGATATCAACTCACCAACCCAGAGAGGGTATTTTTTGAAACAGTCCCAAGAACATGCTTGCCTCTCTTGCCCACTGGCCCCGCAGGCTGTGCTGCTGACCGGAACATGTGCAGCCCACGGCCCTGGAGTTCGAGTGGAAGCCTCCCCAGGACGGCAGTGGAATCCAGGGCCCTGGCCTCCAGTTCCTTTCGTTCTCGAACCAGCACACTGATCGGAACTCGGGCCTCCTTATCAATAGCTGAACCTGAACAATTTTACTTTATGAAAGTGCGTCCATACAGCATTCGAGTTTTGGTGCTAACGTAGAGTCAGAGAACCGAGTCCTGCTGATCAATGCCCAGGGCCCTGCCCATGCTCCTGAGCCACTCGGCCCGATGGTTAGGGCTGGAGGCTGACCCCGTCTCAACCAAATCAGGGACTAATCTTTCCAAAGCCTTCCAGTTGCCACCGGGGGGCACAAAAAGCTCAGAGCTGTGACCCTCTCTTGAGGCCTGGGGCAGGAAGTCCCTTTCTCAGAGAAGGGAGCTTTGATGTGGCACCTGGGGACACGCAGAGCCATTAAAAGGAAGTTTCCTTGGCGGGCGGAGATGGCGCATGAGGCTCGACATCTGTGATCTCTTTCTTCTCTGGAATCTCCACTCCGTTTCTCTTCGCAAAAATTCGGTTTATCTCCACAAACGTTTGACCCTTGGTCTCGGGAATCACCACGTAGATGTAAACAGCGGTGAGGAGGCAGATCCCCGCGAACACGATGAAGCTGTAGGCCCCAATGGCCGCCTAGGCCAAGAGACAGGAGAACCGGAGGGGGCGGAGGCGGGAAGGACAGGGGCGGCTCCTGGGGGGCCTCTGTGAGTCACAGAGGAGTTCGCTGGCGGCCAGTTTTATTAAAATAGCTGGAGAGGTGGGTCCCGCCCTCCCGTCCAGGAGGACTCCTCAGCCCCTTAACAATGGGGACGTGCGTCCCCGGCCCGGGGTGTGGGCGCGGAGCTGGGGCGCTCACCGTCAGAGCCGGGGAGGAGGTGGCAGCAGGTTTGCGCCCTCGCCCTCGCCCTGGCTCCAGCCTGCTGCCTACTGCCTTGACCTTGGCACACGGGAGCCCCTAGTAGTCGGCCCTTCAGGAGTTGAGCGAGGGGCTCCCGTCAGCGAGTGGGAAACGGGGTATTCCCAGGGCTTGGCCAGGGAGCCACCACACACGTTCGTGGAGCTCAGAGAAATCTGTGAGCTGCCCCCCTGGGGAATTAGCTCTGGCCTTGGTAGAAGGGAACCGGCTTTATTTCCTGAAGCCCCTTCTGCTCAGGGGTGGGCAGGGGGACGGAGGGGGCAAGGCCGGCCCACTGTGCTTCCCGCCCGCGGCCCACTCACCTGGACCGAAGGGAACACGAAGCCCACGATGAAGTTGGTGAGCCAGTGCACAGCGCCGTCCACCACGAAGGCGGCCGGCCGCGACGACTGCAGGAAGATCTCGGTCCTCACCACGGAGGGGACGGGACCTTGAGGGCAGAGAGCGCAGGGCCCGTGGGGCGCAGGGGGCTGGGGCGCCTGGCCCCAACCCCAGGCCCTGCGACCTGTAGGTCTTGGCCTGCCCTCGACGGCCAAGGGAAGGAGCTGACATCTCTTCGTCAGCACCCTGCTTCCTCTCCCCTGTGGCTTCTCCTGGGCGCACCCACGGCTGCGGGGTGCAAGGTGGAGGGGGGCGGGTGGGGGGCACCTCCCTCCAAGGGCCTCAAGGTCACAGTGTCCACTCTCCCTGGTGTTGTCGTTTTGAAATTCTCAGACAGTAAAGGAACAG